ATGGCGGGCGGGCAAGAGGAGAGGTGAAAATCACAGCTGGAAAAGGTATTTGGATCGGACGGAGCGAGGGGTGGGGGGATTCAAAAGAAGAAGATGTTGGACAGCTGCTTGTCTGGGATGGTATAAAGTGTCCTTGCTTGAGAAGGGGGTTGGACTAGAAGACCTCCAAGGTCCCTTCCATCTGTATTCTGTATTATTCTGTATTCTGTATCACCTTCAATGTGTGGTAGCTAGAAACATGGGAAGATCCTAATACACTTTAATTGCCCTCATGAAAGTTAATACGTAGCAATCACGACACAATGCTCAAATAAATATGATAATTACTTGAATAACAGAGTTGGAAGGGACCTTAGAGGTCTTCTAGTCCAACCCCCTGCTCAGGCAGGAAACCCTATACCGTTTCAGACAATTGGTTATCCAATCTCTTCTTAAAAACTTGGAGTGCCCACAACTTCTGGAGGCAAGTTTTTCCACTTGGAAAGTTTCTATGTGGTTTCACCACACTTGTTTGCCTCTAGCATCTGTTTAAGCTGCCTCTCTTAATCTTCGGTGTAATAGGCACACCGCAATGGCCTAGTTGTGTATTGTGTCATACTGTTGTGTTCCATGAAGGTATGTGGAATTGCAAGTGTGCAACCGAAGTAGGACACTCACACGGCCTCCTTCATCTTGCACAAGGATGTGCATGTGGAAGTGTAAAGCGCTACCTATTAGCACCCCAGCCTTGTTGTGATAGTCACACAAAGCTCTCTTGGTCACACAATGCACCTCGGTGTCTTTCTCTCTTTGACTAAGCCCTCCTTGTTATGGATAAGAAAACAAATATTATTATGAATGGGCTGTTTTTGCTTCGCTCTGCTGTGCTTTAAATGAAAATATTGTTTTGCACAAGAATGGAAAAGGGAAGAGATCCGTACAGAGGAAATTGTAATTTAAAAATTGAATGTGCACAAATGGATAGACTAACGCTTAAAATTAAGGAAAAGGTTATACAGTATTTTAATTGATTGTACTAAATCAACTTTGCAGTAATGGAAAGCACTGTGCAAATATATAATACACTAATATAAAGAGGCATTTGAGAGACTCTGGTTTCTTTCATTTAGCTTTTCATCTTACTGTTTATTATTAGATTCAGCTACTGTTTTCTTTTTTTCTCTTAAAGGTAAAGGTTCCCCTCGCACTTAGTACGTGCTAGTCGTTCCTGACTCTAGGGGGCGGTGCTCATCTCCGTTTCAAAGCCAAAAAGCCAGCGCTATCCGAAGACGTCTCCGTGGTCTTGTGGCCGGCATGACTTAATGTCAAAGGCGCATGGAATGCTGTTACCTTCCCACCAAAGGTGGTTCCTATTTTTCTACTTGCATTTTACACGCTTTCGAACTGCTAGGTTGGCAGAAGGTGGGACAAGTCACGGGAGCTCATTCCG